AGCTATTTGAGGTATAAAGCTCCCTTGATGGCTCCTTATGATAACTCCTTTTTAGGGCTTTATTTGCCATTTTTGGGCCCTCTAAGCCTTGTTTGAGAGTATGGTCTACTCAAGCAGCTTAGGATGATAGATCTAGGCTTTTCTGAGGTTCATTATTCATAAAAATGATATCTTGATAGGTTTAGCTCAACAATGCAAGGTTGATGTTCTTCTTAATGGACTTTAAATGCTAGATTTGGAATTTGGGGTATTTTAGCCATGTAAAGGCTTAAAGTATTTGACTTTATGGTTTAAGGCCTTAATATGATGTTAAATTGAGGATTGAATGTTAATTTCTTAAGTGGTTAATACTTTTGAGAAAAATATTGGAGTTAGGCGAGTACGCTAGGCATACTCCTAAGTACGTTGGGCGTATTGGGTGCAAGCCCCATTTCTGGATCAATCGTGTATGCAAGGCGTACGAGCCAGGTATGCCGAGCATACACAAGTCAGTGGGCCGATGAAGTGGTGGGATTGGAATTATTTGGGATTTGTATCGATTAGTCTTGGACCTTAAACTTCTTGGATTGAGGTCCATAATGGGTCTTGGGCCCAATTAAGTTGGGCCATGTTGGGATTTTGGAGCCATTGGGTTGGGTTTCGATTGTTGGGCCACGTAAGGAATGGGTAAGATGGTCTTTTACCCTAGGAGTCGGACAAATGAAATAGTTTCTATTTATGGTGTGTGGCCCCATTATTAATTGGGATTTTATTGATTATTTAGTGTAGGAGTTTTCCGGATCAGTAGTCCGAGCTTTTATCTGAGATATTCAGTAGTTTGAGGTGACTTTCCTCACTCTTCTTGGTGGGTCAAAGGCACCAATTATGGCCCATGGTTTATTATGATTAGTATGCTAGTTGTCTGTGTGAATCTTGCATGTATGTTATGTGATATGTATACCGGATCGGGGTTTGATGTCAGGCGGGGCCTAATGAATGTATTGTATGTTATTTATCTTTGTGATTCTTGCATGTGTCTATGTGTATGTATGAACGACGGGTAGGGCACGATTCCAGGAAAGGCTTGATGAATGTGATGAGGTAGGGCCCATATCATGCTATTGAAAAATATGTTTCGAGTGGGGCTCGATGCCGAGCAGGTCCCGATGAGGGTTCGAGCTCTGGGGACGGCCAGTTAGATGAGTAGATGTAGGCATTCATTTCGTCTAAGATTACCTGTAGCATACTTGAGCAGACTCCTATGATCGTTAGTACGATCAAGGAGGGTATCATGGAGGTTTTGGAGCAGCACTTGGGCTCTTCTTATTCTGGGATGGTAGAATTGATGGGAGCTCGCACATTGACTTTCCGTGAGTTCCGGGTATGTTGGGCTCCAGAGTTCATCGAGGAGAAGGACATGATCGTAAGTAGACTTTGGTTAGTGGATGTTTCTAATTCCTTGCACACTAGCAGTTGTCCCGAGGAGGCAAAGGTCAGACTTGCTTCCCGTCTTCTGAAAGTCAGAGCTCGAGATTAGTGGGAGGACGTTGGATGCACCTTAGGAGATGCGATAGTTGATTTGATGACCTGGGATGACTTTGTGACAAGATTTCAAGCTGAGTTTGCACCGTTAATTGAGGTGCACCAGTTGGTGAGGGAGTTTCAGGACCTTTGACAGACTATTGAGACGGTGGCTGAGATCACCGCTATGTTCCGCGAGAGGGCATTGTTGGTTCCGTAGTATGTAGCAGATGATGAGAAAAAGAATGTGAGATACCATGAGATGTTGAGGAGTGACATCAAGCAATTTGTGATCTGATCCAATTGTTGGACACTTGATGATATGATAGCGAGTGAAAAAGAGAGAGAGATAGAGAGAGAGAGAGAGAGAGAGAGAATGAGTGAGTGTGAGAGAGAGAGAGAGAGAGAGAGAGAGACTTGGAGATTGAGAGGAAGAGGAAACCATACCATGTTTAGGGTTCTGGGAGTTCAGGAAAGAGGCCCAAGGTTTATGATTCTAAATTGAGAGGCAATCAGGGACTATGCTATCGATTGCGCGCTATAGCGGTGCTACAGCGCTGCTATAGCATTTCGCGGTGATCACCAACCGCTATTTTCAACTTATCGTTTTCAAATCGCGGTATCGCAATTTGCGCCGCAATTCACCGCAATTAACTGCTATTCTAATGACCGAGATAGCGCCGCTATGGCCGCTTTTTTATTTTCTTGCATATTTCAATTATTTTTAATACATGTGGCCTATTTGATTCATTTGTCAACAAAAAACACTTTTTAATGAGCCCGCTACTTGCATTTTGAAAAGCCCAATGAAAAACCTAATTAAAATTATTCCAAAAACATGATCGTGAGTCGTGACTTGAAGACGGCTTGATCGCTTTAGCTATGACGAAGACGAAGAAGTAAGAACACACCTGCGAGTTGCGACTGCGAGGCTGCTTCTTCCGAGTTCAGAGGACCTAACTTCTTAATTAATCGATCACGAAGAATTTGGTTTTCACTCTTCATCCTTCACTACCATATAATGGACTTCCTCACCTCCACATTCCACAACATCGACTCCCTTCCCCAGTTCCCCTTAATCGGCTTCCAAGTTCCATGTTGCCAACAACATCATGTATGTAATTTTTCCCTTTAATGCTTTCTTTTCTAGATAGTAAAGAGTAAAGACTAAAGATTAGAGATATGTAATTTCCTTTAATTCTTCCAAGTTCCAACAGCATTAACATTAGCATCGACACACTTGAATTATTGTATATCATTTCAACGAAACATGTATGGGCAAAAGCTCCACTGCCCATTTATGTTTGTCAATTTTTCCTTTAATGCTTTCTTTTCTAGATAGCAAAGAGTAGAGACATACACACTGTAATTTCCTTTATGTTTGTCAATTTGTGTACTCATGTTGATGTAATCTATTAAGATTTAGAAAATAGGAACATAAAACATTAAGTAGTTATTCTGTTAATGAATAATAATGAGTAATTACATGTGATTTGTGATTTGTGAAACAGGTTTAGTCAATTGTGAATTGACCAATATGGATGCTAATTCTTCACATGCTTTTGTGAATCTGCCCACCACCACCACTCCTACTACTAATATGAGATCAGATGCCAATACAACTAGTGTAAGTGCAAATAAAGATATGGCATGGGAATGGGGAGTTCAAAAGGATCCATTAAAAAAACAAAATATTTGGTGCACCTTGTGTGACAAGAGAGTATGTGGAGGGATCACAAGGTTAAAAGAACACCTCACTCATACAAGAGGAAATTTCCCTAATGTGACTACGGAGATCACCAAGAAAGTGCTTGAATCAATGAAAGAAAAAGATAAGAAAAAAAGGAAAGACAAAGAACAACATAAATACTTAGATCAACAAGTTGTGTAGACCTTTCTGAAAATTATGATGAGCAAGACGATACCCCACAACCACAAGTTAAAAAAAGAAAGTTTGTAAGTTCTAGTAATGTACGGGGTCCTATTGATGATGTTTATAATTTGGACCATGGAAAAGGAAAGAAAACTACATTGGATAAGAATAATCCGATTAAAGAGAAGTTGAAGAATGTATCTTGGAAAAAGATTGCGGTTTGGGCTTATTCGGTAGGCTTACCTTTCAATGTCGTACGTGATGAAGGTTTCCAAGATGCGATCAATACCATTGGAGAATATGGAAGAGGTGATCAATTTTGTTACCTTTCTTATTTGATTAATGCTAAGTTGTTAACTAATTTTGTTAATTATATAAATGTTAGGCATGCCGGCTCCAAGTTATCATAATATGCGGGTGACATTGTTAAAGGACGTGTTAGAAGATACCCACAAGTTTGTGGATTCGTTTCGACCACAATGGAAGAAATTTGGATGTAGCATTATGTCTGATTTTTGGATAGATGGCAAGCATAGATCTTTGATCATTTTTTTAGTCAATTGTCCTAATGGTACAGTTTTTCTAAAGTCGATTGATGCATCAGAGCATATACATAATGTTGAATATATTGTGAAGAAGGTAAATGAGGTGATAGCAGAAGTTGGAGAGGAAAACATTGTGCAGGTAATATTTGTTTCTAATTAGTTATTAGTTATTACTTTTAAATATATATATATATATATATATATATATATATATGTCCATTTAAAAAAATTATATCCATTTTATTAATAGAGTTCCTTTTATTTCTTATAGTTTATTACAGACAACTGTTCAAACTACAAAGCTGCAGGAAAGATTTTGGAAGAACAACATCCAAAATTATTTTGGACTCCATGTGCATCACACTGTGTGAATCTCATTGTACAAGATATTGGGAAGAAAGAAGCAACAATCGCGACCGCTTTGACTGAAGCAAGAGCTATTGTGGTATATATTTATAACCATGGAAGGATTCTCAATATGATGAGAAAATTGACAAAGAATAGAGAGTTGCACAGGTCTTGTGTAACTAGATTTGCTACCTAATTTTACACCTTACAGAGTGTCCATGAGAATCGACACCATCTCCAAGTTTTGTTTGTATCTGAGCAATGGAGAAAAAGTGACTTTGCAAAGAAAGCTCCTGGAAAGAGAGTTGAGAAGATAATATCAAAACAATCTTTTTGGGATGGTGTATATTTAGCTTGCCAAATATATGCTCCATTGGTGGATATTGTTCGTTTGGTTGACACAGAAGAAAGGCCGTGCATAGGGTACATCTATGATGCGATGGGTCGAGCACAAGATCAAATAAGCAAAAATTTAAATGATGGGAATAATGACAAAAAAGACTGGTAGGTAGAATTTTGTATATCATACAAACAAGATGTAACGACCAACTTCTTTATCCCTTACATGCATGTATAAATCTTTTACTTATTAGTTATTAATTTAATTTAAAAAAGTATGCAATTATTTGGTTTTAACATTTTAGTGAATGACTTAATGTACAACTGGGTGTTTCCTTAATCCTGCAATTTTTCATGGAGATAAGTCAAAGGAATATGAGGCCAATAAACAGATTATGACCAGACTTTATGTTGCTATTGACCGTCTTGTTCCCAATGAAGATGAAAATGATACTTTGAGACAAGAATTGAATCTCTACATTGATTTAAGTGGACAATTTGGATCCCCAGCTGCTAAAAGGAGTATGACAAAAGTTGCACCGTGTAAGTATAGAAATTATAATGTAACCAAAAGTTTTTATTTCTTAATTTCTATTAACTTAGGAACTTTTTTTTTGTAAAATGTAGATATATGGTGGTGTTCTTATGGGATAGATACACCTATCTTACAAAAGTTTGCTATCACGGTTCTTAGTCAAACTTGTAGTGCTTCACCTTGTGAGCGAAATTGGAGTACATTTGATAATGTAAGTTTTTTTACTTATTTTTAACAAGTATTTTTATAATTATAATTTATAAATGATATTAGCTTGATTGGAACTTCTAACATATTAACTAAAATATTTTAATTCTTTTGTTGCAGCTACATTCTAAGAAAAGAAATTGTCTTTTGCAACAAAAACTAAATGAACTTGTATTCATCCAATACAACACAAGGTTGCAAAAGCGCTTCATGTCTTTACAAAACAAATCTTTGGATCCTATTTTGCTACGAGATGTTGAGGAGAATGATGATTGGACAATACCAACGAAAGATGAGCTTCAAGACTTTGTGGATGGTGGTGATGACCTTCTTTGGTCAGATGTGCAAGAAGAAATGGGAGCGAATGTAGACGCTCAACCAAATATTAGGAGCAAACGAGAGCGTTATAGAGATGATGATGGTGATGATATTACAGATGTGGGGAACGATCTTGATGAAGAAGTGAATGCTTTGGATGATGTTGACTCGGAAGCCGAACTCGTGCCATGCGATTAAACTATATTTGACACTTTGACAATTGACACTACGTAGTTTCTATATTACTATATTAGAATTTTGAATATTATGTTATGTTTTTCTATGAATTGTTAGGTTTTATGATATTAATTTTATATAGACTTTTTAGATTCTATGATATTAATTCTAAATATAATATAAAAATATTAAATTATATGTAATATTAAAAAACCGCTATAGCACCGCTATACCACCGCGAAAACCACGATTTCAAATAGCAGCCTATGACCGCTATCAAAATTTTGATCGCGATAACTGCATAGATCAGGGATGGGGCGTTGTAGCAAGTGTGGCAAGACGCATGATGGGGCGTGTAGGGTGGGTGGTTTTGGATGCTTCAAGTGTGGCAGGACAGGCCATATTAGCAGGGACTACACTGCTACTACCACCACCACCTAGGTATCCGATCTGATTTGATTCCATTACAATAAGAGGGGCCATAAGAAGGCCAATTTACGAGTTTAGCAGGAGGAACAATTGCAGCACCCGCTCCAGTGACTCTATGGATTGCTGATGGCGACCACGGCAAGACAAATGCATCTGTTGTGAGCAGTAGGGCTTTTCAGTTGACAACCAAGGAGGCTTGTGTAACACTTGATGTGGTGACGGGATCATTCCTTGTGAATGGTATCTCTGCTTTGGTGTTGTTTGATTTGGGGCCTACACGATCCTTTGTATCCCTTACACTCAATAAGAGGTTTGTTGGTGCTCCGTGGGAGCTAGATTGTCCATTAGAGGTTGGGATTGCTGATGATCGTTCTGCCTGGGTATCGAGGGTTTATTGGGGTTGTGTTCTAGATATGTTTAGCGAGAGGTATCCAATTGATTTGGTCCATATTCCTTTGTGTGGGAACAAGGTTATTGTAGGGATGGACTGGTTGAGCCCCAATGGGGCAGCGATTGATTACGAGCATTAGATGGTATGTATTCGGAACCTACACGGGGGAGAGTTAGTGGTTCAGGGAGAGAGTGCTCAACATGGGGTTGATTTTATGTTCAGCAACTAGGTCCAGACACTATCCTCAATAGGGTTGTTCAAGATATTTTGCCTATGTTATGGATACTCGGGAGAAGGGTAAGGCGATTGTGGATGATGTGTCGGTTGTTCGGGAATACCGGGATGAGTTTCCGGAGGACTTTCCTGGAGTGCCTCCGGATAGTCAGGTGGAGTTTAGGATTGACTATGTTCCTGGTGCGACTCCGATAGCCAAAGCACCGTATCAGTTAGCTCCTCCAGAAAAAGCAGGAGTTGTCTACACAATTGCAGGAACTGTTAGACAAGGGGTTCATTCGACCAAGTAGTTCGCCATGGGAACACCAATCCTGTTTCTGAAGAAGAATGATGGCTCACATCGGATGTGTATTAACTACCGGGAGCTGAATAAGCTAACGATGAAAAACTATTATCCACACTCGAAGATTGATAACTTGTTTGATCAACTTTGAGGTGCATCATGGTTTTCCACGATCGATCTACATTCGAGTTATCATCAGATGAGGTTCAGAGAGGAGAATGTGCAAAAGACGGCTTCCAGACTCGTTATGGTCATTACAAGTTCGTGGTGATGCCCTTCGGGCTCACCAATGCTACCACCGCATTCATGGACCTCATAAATTATGTATGCAGACCCATGTTGGATTGGTATGTGATTGTGTTTACTGATGACATCCTGATATATTCTAAGACCCATGAGCTGCATGAGGATCAGTTGATGGAGGTATTGGAGACCTTGAGGAGGGAGATATTGTATCCAAAGTTATCCAAGTGTAAGTTCTGAATGAATGAGGTACTATTTCTAGGGCACCTTGTCAACCAGAATGATATTCTGGTCGATCCGGCCAAGGTCGAGGTGGTGATGGGATGGGAGGTTCCGAAGCCTCTATATGATATTCAAAGTTTCCTTGGTCTGGAAGGTTACTATTAGAGATTCATTCAAGATTTATCCAAGATAGCGTGAAGTGTGTTAGGATTGATTATGAACACGAATGATTCAAAGAAAACTATTAAGAACACAAGATCTAAATATAATCTCATTGGCTCGTATTTAGTCTGAAATGAGTACAAAGTATCTAGAGTGTTTACAATAAAAAATGCTCAAAAGTTACTCTCTACTCTAGAAGTTACCCTATTTATAGGGTACAACAGACTCATCAAAAAACACAAGGACTAAACATTCTAGCTTCAAAACTAACAGTGCCTTGTAAATAAATAGAGTGTCGAAACAACTAATTTCGACATTTTACAGAATTTGACCACATTTGACTCCTCACTATTAGCATTTAGACCCCAACAATCTCCCGCATAGTGAGAGAAGTCGAAATTATGGAAAGAAATTTAGAGTCTGTAGAAGTGCCCTTCTAATCACCATACACTACAGAATAGTCTGTCGAATCTCAGCTTTATCTCCACTGTCGTTCTTCTTGCAGTTATTAATTCGAATAAGAAGTTTTGTAAACTGAGTGTTCGTGTACCTATCAAGATCACTCACTTGAAATAAAAACTTCGTCATACGCCAATTCTTGTTCTTTCCTCGAAACACAACACTAAGAGGTTGATGAATTATTTCACCATCTTTATAATCATCAATGTTAATCTTTCCTCTTAGCAAAGATTGAGGAAATTTTGAAGGGTTCTTGATTGTTGTTGCAAGCTCAATATTAGTGATTGCCAAGTAATAATAGTAGTTGTCTAGGAAGACTTTGATATGCGAAAAACCAATGATGAAATCATCCTTGTTTGTCTCTTTTATCTTCAAAACATCCACAACACTCAAAATCTTTGTGACCGTGATCAGGTCATTTAAGTTCATTAATGGAAAATATGCTATTGTGAACTCAAAAGCAAAGTTATTTGCTCTTAAAACAACATAATGAAAATTTTGTAGCAGACCTTTGAACATGATGTCACGAGTAATGGACAAAACTTTGACTATCTTCATAGGAGACCGTACGTCTTCTTCATTTTTCGCTAAGACTGTGTGAAAATGAATCTTTAATCTTTTAAATTCTTCCCTATCATTGAATTTCTCTACAATCTTGATTCAAGAATAAGTGAACAACATATGATTGACCAGAAAGTGAAGCTGATTAAAGTCAGAATTTTCTGTGTCGAACCTTTTCTTTTCCATCTTTCGAAAGTAATCATTCATTCCAATCAAAATAACATCTTCAATGGTTTCATAACACCACTGCTTGTTGTGATCACCCTTATTCAAGCCAGGTGGGTCATTTTCTATTCTCCTCAAAAAGATGTTAATCAGCCTTGTTTCTCATTTTCAATGGCATGTTGCTTTTTCTTCTCCTCTTCTAAAAAATAATAGTTATTTCTTTCCCTTTATCACTTGAACCAACATTTGAAGTTTACTTGTTAAGAATCAAACTCAAACTCGAACCTCCAACTTTATCATTTATTGAAATACCTTTTGTTAAAGCTCTTGTTTTTGTTGTTGTTGTGGAAGTTGTAGTCAAAGACATGGGAAGTGAAGTTGGAATTTGAGTCAAACTTACTTTCCCAACTACAACTCCTTTCTCATTATCATAATCTTTTGAAGAACCAACTCCTCCAATTGCTTTCTTTCTCCCTTATGATACTTGCATTGCATGTGGATCATTAGTTGGTAAACAAAGAACCAACTCATGGATTAGAGCAAGCTCAGATTTAATATTGGACTTAATATTCAAATTCAATTGAGAAGGAGACTCTTGCGATATTGTTGTTTGATTCGAAAGATCAACCTTGGAAATAGAATCTTTGATACTTGACAAAAATTCTTCCATCTTATTAAACACTTGAGTATCCTTTGTTGACTTGGCTTCAAGCTTATTCGTATACTCATATTAAACTCAACCAATTTAGTGACAACAGTTGCAATGACATCGACTTTTCCATGCAACGAGGTGTAGCTTTGCTCCATTTTTTGAACTTATTCTGAAAAATCAGATTTGAGTACAATGATTTTGAGATCCACAGTTTCCTTCCTTGTAGTCACTTGATCAATAGAAAGTTCATGACGTTCCTTTGCAACATTACAAAGCTTCTGAATCTCATAATCATAGCTCTTGGAATGAAACACTAACCTTTCTACTTGTTTCTGCTTAATGCCCTCAATCATGTTTTGAAAGCTATATTCCATTTTGATGCTAGACAAAAATGCTTTGCTCTTATATTTACTTGAATTTGAAGAAGATAATTGATTTTCGAGTTAAGTATCTTGAACTCTTTTCTGGACATGATTAAGTTATCAGGAACATTCTCCTCATTGGGATCAAATTGAAGATTAACAAATGACACCATGATATCATCATCATTAGGTTCTTCTTCATGAACCACTTTCTCAATATCAGTTGATTGAGATGAGAAAAGAGTTGTAATAGGTTCATGTATGATGCCAGAGTATTTTGGGGACATGGTCAAAGCTGAAACTGAAGTTGGAACAGGTGATGAAATTGGTGGTAAAGTTGTGGAAGTGTCGACTGTGAGAATTTCGATGGTAGAGATGTTGATGATAGAAGTAACAAAGAACTCATTGGTATGCATCCATTCATCCATGTTGAAATGTGTGTCCTTATCAGATAAGTTCATAGGGATGTTGTAGCTCGAACCTCCTCCATATTGGACTCAGTATATCAAACCCCAGATGGTATGGCCAAGGTCTTCCTAAGGATGGATGTTGATTGATGATCAGTCGAATTGATGTTCGTATCTGTATTAGATACATTTATATTGACTTCAAGATTTCCTGTCACCTTAAAATTCGACTTTAAAGGTGAATCCCTTCGAGCTGATACAATAACAGAATCTTCAATGCGAATATCAGACCTTTCACTATCACTGTCATGAGCAGTTTCAACCCTCATATTGTCAAGTAGAACTGGAATCTTTCGTTTCTTCTTTCGTAACTTGTGAACCATATCAAGAGCTTGACACTTCTTCAAAGTCGGTGAAGCAGGAACAACTACTTCATGAAACAAAACACCCTTCCTGTTAAATTGGGGATTTCGAATCTTCTTGATACCCTTCTGAGAGGAATTCGGTATGGAGAATCGACATTCTGTGGCTCAAAACTTTCAAATATATGATCATGAATAGGTTACTGGATTGTTGAATCAATAGGCTTCTTGGATGGTTTCTTCGTTCTCTCACGGTTTTCATGGGATAGTTTCTTTCATAAATTCCTTCTCCACAGGTGGTTTTTTGACTTTCTTCTTCTTCTTTGGAGCTTTGGAGGCTTTAGAAGGTCCTTCTACCCCCTTTGTAGAAGAACCATAGTTAGTGTAGAAGAATCAATCGAAGCCAAGTATTGCACAAGAAGCTAAGTTTTGGGATCCACAAGCTTGAGCATCGCATTTGGAATGCGAGCAACATTAGAAAAAAAACAAATAGATCATCAACAAAAATCCTTAGCGCAACCAAAACTGCAAATTCAGCAGTTTCAACATCAGAGGGAAACAAAATATCCTCTTGACAATAAACATCATGTAAAATCAAGCTCCAAAATCAAGCTTGGCTTTGTCGAGCCCATAGCTTTATACTGTTAAGCAACATAACACAATCCCAAACACAAAACTCCACATACATAGAAGACCAGACTTCTTAAAGTGACTTATTCCAATAAGATTTGGTTGATGCCCAATTTCATTAAACATATGAAGCACCTAATCAGTCAAAACTTCATAGAATGTAACTGACACTGGCAACTTCAGAATTTGTGCAAATTGCTAAGCGTCTTAGTCTTTGAATCCGACAACTAAAACGTGACCACCTTAGTAGTTTTGTTGAAAACAACAGTTGAACCAACAAGAGAAAGCCATTTCGTCGGAACTGCAAACGAAGATAAAAAGAGTAGTTGATAACACATAATTGTTTAGGGTTTGAAAAAACATCCATAATATCTTCAGATATTGATCAATGAATGGAACCAGACGAAGATTATTAGTTTGGATCTTCATCATCGATCGCGAAACTTCCTCTTTATTTGTTGTTGTTGGATCAGCAGTGGGATGATGAGCAGCCATTGTCATGAATGCAAAAGAATGTGGAAACAATGAACAGTTAAGGTTTTTGGAATTTTGATTTGAGAGCATAAAGTTTGAGAATAGAATCCTTCACTTCCTTTTATAGTAGAAGGTATTTTTGAATTTGAACCAGTATACAATAATACACTGCCACGTATTGTGATAGTTACTTAACCGGCATGGTAAAACGCTCCACGTCATACAAATGATCATCACGTTTTCCTTGATTCCCATGAAAATCCTGAACCGTCATGTCCAACGGATCTTTCATTGTTACCAAATGTATAAGAACCGTCACAATTTTTGAATTGTAACTAAGTACACCATGTAATTTTGACACCAAGATGCAATCAATCCTTTGGCATGGAGGCTAGGATCATTCGATTTTGTGATTTGGAAGCGAAATCATATGTTAGACTTTGCGAATTTGAGTTTCGAGTTGGTAAGACCAAAAACCTTAAGGATTTCTATGTATTTGTGTGCTAGAGAATGAGATAGAAGCAAATAAAACAAAATGTGGATATTATGATATCAAATTTTATTTGATACAAAAGCATATTGATACCGAGCAAAGATCTCTTCATTCGACATCAAGAGAGATAAAGAATTGCTTGTTTGGTTTCCCGTGAATTACAATCGAATACTTTTTGATGAGCATCGAAGGACTTCTTTTTTTATTGGTTTTGAAGGTGTATCCAATTTTTTACAACATCACAACTTAACACAAGTGTGATCCAATTGAGCCAAATTACTTAGATGACCAGTGTAGTCAAGAAAAAGTATGGTTGGATATTACTTTAACTGACAAAAGATCAAAAAGATATTCAGACGAAAATCTCATTCCAAAAAAAAAATCAAAGTATTGGATCTATTTGGGCAAAAATGTCTCGGTGTTAGAACATTTTATCAAGATCACAAAAGGTGAAAGCAATGAGATTTTGAATATCGAAAAGGTATAGAAACAAGTGTTTCATTAATATCTTGAACAAAAGTGGTCAATGTCAATTCATTGATGGTTAAGTTCGCTGTGTTTCACCTTCATCACGGAAGAATAACTCAAGATCATAAACACAAAGTTTTGTCATATCTACATTCCGGTTGGTTTTGAACAGAGATGCTGAGGATATGCAATGTAGTGTGTGATCGTGAAAGAAATGTTGGGTGAAAAAGATTGGTTATAGGAACTCATTGTACCTCTGTGAAAAATATGGACCATGCATACATGTCTTTACTCAACATGAGAAGAGAAAGGTAGATCTTCGACAAATGTGAATACAACCTGATTGGGAAGAAAATTTTGTAATGAGAGTTTCATTAAGGCTTCGAACACATAGAGTTTGTGATGCTTGAGAACAACATGTAACAATATGCTTTTAGGGACACTTAACTAGTACATAAGTTCGAATGAATACATGTTCCCTAGATGGATATGTTCGTTTGGCACGCAACACAGCATCATGTTGTTACAATGAGACGCCACACGTTAGCCAATAATATCAAACAAAAACTCAAACAAGGAGAAGAAAATCTTTTTGTATTTTTGTTTTTAGAAATCAAGTACAAAAATAAGATTTTTTTTGGATTTTTGTTTTTAGAAATCAAACACAAAAAAGGAAAATCTTTTAGGATTTTTGTTTTTAAAAATCAAACAAAAAAATAAGAAAATATTTTTGGATTTTTGAATTTTGAAAAATAACAAACAAAAATAAACGAACTATAAAATGTTACCAAGATACATTCGACCCATGGTCTAGCAATCATCAATCATGGGTTGCACATCGAATGGCTTCCATCAAAAGGGAATTGCGTTCAGAATGGTTCATGAAACATCCCCAAAATACAGTCCAAAATTTTCTTTTTAAATCATAAATAAAACCATAGTAATCCAAGTCATCTCATGAAAACATAAGTGAAAATATTTCAAAACATCATATAAATCACTGTATAAAAATCATATATCAAAATATCAGAGTAAATCATCCCAGGCTAAAAGTTGTGGTGTGTTCCATGCAGTTATCCCGAGCTCTTCCCCTGGCTAGTTGAAGTACCAGAAATCAAAACTGAAAACTATAAGCACGAAGGTTAGTGGGTCTCCCCAAACTACAACATACCATATGCATAAACACATACTACAAACATTAGGCCTAGCCCGCTACATCGGGCCCCGCCTGACATCGGACTAATCCATCATCAAGCCCTGACTAGCATTAAGCATCGCTCGGTATACAAATATGTTTCTATTAGGCCCCACCTGTCTCTGGGCCCCGCCCAATATAAACATACGAACATATAATCCTAATCATGCTAGTACATAACAATCAAATACAACACTACAATTGCTAGTGTCAAGGCCCCGCCTATCTTGGGCCTCGTTTTTACTCTGGTAATAATGAGATATGGAACCCCGTCCACACTCAGCCAGTGATGAAATACGGGCCCCCACCCACACTCATCTCCCTATCAGGTACATACAAGTATCACAAAGACAACAAGTATAATGAAACATGCATTCCTTCCTCGGGCCTCGCCCGACATCGAATTGAAGTCCGGAAAACTTAACCTTCCTCGGGCTTGCCACGATATCGGATCGAAATCCGGAACACACAACACATAGCATGTTAAATAAACATTCCTCAGGCTTGCCTCGACATTGGACCGAAGTCCGGAACATGAAATCTACATCGGGCTAACCCCAACATCGGACCTAGGTCCGACATACACTAACATACATAAACGAGCAAAAATTGGTGCCTTTGACCTGCTCCTACAAGAGAAAACTCACCTCTCAAGTTGACTGCTGAAATCTCAAGTGAGGAATCTCTGATAGTTGCTCTAACAACTCCTCAACTATAAATTCACAAGGAACACTTAGTCAAGAACTGAAAATCCTTCAAAGGGTAAAATGACCATTTTATCCCTGGTTAAAGTCAACGCTCTGGTCCAAGTCAAAGTCAACAGTCAAATTCAACGCTCCGAATTCACTCAACTCGCCAAGTTGCTCCTTCAACTTGCCGAGTTCCATAACTCGGAATCCTGAAATTGTGATCCAACTCGTCGAGTCAATCCCTGACTCGTCGAGTTCCCTGGCTACTCATGGTCGCGTTTTATTAGATCAACTCTTCGAGTCAATCCTCATACTCGTCGAGTTCTAGCATGAACAGAAACAGGACAACTCACTTCGACTCGTCGAGTCCCTCTTTGGACATGTCGAGTCCTTCAGATAGTTTGGGCCATCTTAACAGATTAAGCCCTCTACACTTTAGATCTACACTCCAAACTCCTAGAGGGTTAAAGTTTCTAACTTTACCCATTAATACCTCCAGACCTTAGACATTGTTTGCTCACGTAAAGTCTCTTCCTTTTCTTCCATGCATGGCCTTTTGTGGCTTAAAA